TATACATTATCTGTCTTATGCAGTCAGTCAGTCAGTAACAACGTAGAACTTCGTACGTACGTACATCAAATAGATTTGCCACACCGCATTTGCACAGAGATGCAGTGGTCGATTCAAATCCCGTAGTGCCAGATGTAGTAAAATTATAAGCTGTAATCAGAAAAATTAGGGTTTGAAGATGTTATTCAAGGAGTATAATAGTGAAATAAATTTGGAAAGAAGAAGGAAGGGACATGAAGAATTCAGAAGATTAAAATTTGGGAGAACACAAAGAGTGGATGCACCTGCGCGATTGCAAACGATTTCGAGCCATGTCATTCAGGGTCTCTAACCATCGGTTGCTATCATCTCGCGGTCCCCAACCAGGTAGTCTATACCTACCAACATGGCTCAGACCACATGTCCGTGACTTCATGGACTTGTGCCATGTTTTGGTTTGGCCGCCCCTAGCTTTCTTCCAACCTACTCCTATACCACTGAACATCGCAGATTGAAGCAGTCGGTCGTTGGGCATACGTAACACGTGTCCAAGCCATCCCAACTGATGAAGTTTCACTACGTCATCAATTGATTTGCCATCCTTACCTACTACCCGTTTCCTAACAACTGCATTACTTACTCGATGGTCCCAGGATATACGAGCAATATTTCGAAGACACCCATGATCAAATACTAGTAACCTACGAATATCCTCTACTCTTACCGGCCATGTTTCACTGCCATAAAGTAGGACGAAACGAACTGCTGCGCAGTGAATACGTCCTTTGATTGATAGACGGATATCTCGCTTACGCCATAAATGACGCAAGTTGGTAAAAGCTAGTCGAGCCTTCTGTATCCGTCCTGAGATTTCGTCACACAGCACACCACAATGGCTGATGAGACTTCCAAGATAAGTGAAGCGATCGACACGCTCAATTACTTCACTCCCTATCATTAGTTCGGGTGTCAATGCAACCCAATCCTGAAGCAACATTTTGCATTTCGGTGGGTAGAATCGCATGCCGAACATGCTTGCATTGTTGCTTAGAGTGATCAGAAGACTCTGCATTTTGTCAGCGTCTTCACCAAATAAAACTATGTCATCTGCATATTCTAAGTCAACAAGTGAACCTCCCGGTAGAAGTCCAATCCCTGTAAATTTAGATGAGGAGAGTGTTATCTCTAAAATTACGTCAATGACAAAGTTGAACAAGAATGGGGAGAGTGGACAGCCCTGATGAACACCACTTGAGGTAATCAATTCTGATGACAGTTCGCCATAAGCTCTCACTCTACCAGTTGTGTTCGAGTAGAGAGCCTTTATAAGGTTAATGTACTTCTTTGGTACTCCTTCCAGTGACAAACACTGCCATAGAAACTTACGATCAACAGAGTCGAATGCTGCCTTAAGGTCGAGAAATACTACGATTGTGGGGCGTCTAAATGTGTGTCTGTGTTCTAGAATCTGATGTATTGTCAATATCTGGTCTATACAACCACGTCCAGGTCGAAAACCAACCTGATTTTCTCTAATCTGTTCTTCGCGAGCTTTGATTAGGCGTCGAAGTATTATTGAAGCTAATATTTTAGACACTATATTTGTCAAACTGATTCCTCTGTGATTGTCACAAGAGCACTTTCGTCCTTTCTTATAGACTGGCACAATCAGTGATTGAGACCAGTTAGATGGGATTACGTCCAGTTCCCAAATTCTACCTAAGACCTCGGTTAATCTCATTGCTAATACTGGACCATCATCCTTAAAAATCTCAGGAGTAAACCTGTCAGGGCCTGCTGCTCTCCCTCGTTTCAGATTTCCTATGGCTTTTTCAACTTCGTAAAGGGACGGAGGATCTATATTAACTTGCCATTCAGGTTGACTGGAGATCGTGGGAAACCGAAGTGTGGCTGAAGGCCAGTTGAACTGATCCCTAAAGTGTTCTGCCCATCGATCCAATCTCCTGGATTGAGAATGTATAATATGTCCATCTTTCTCTGAGATTGTTTAGCTAACAGTCGGGTTCGTAATACCGGTTTCCTTAACAAGTTTGAACAATTGTCTGCTATTACCTATTGCCGCTGCCTTTTCCATCTCTCTTGCTTTCGCTACCCACCACTGTTCATAATCATTGCGTAGACTCATTGTCAGCTTGGGCTTAAGCAGACTCCGCTCTTTATTATGTTCAGAGCCAGGTGGAATGAGTTTCCGAGCATCTATCAGTGCGATAGATGCAGTTGAGATCCACTGTTGCTCCCTAACCTTCTGGTTTACCGTACTAGCAGATATCACTGCTGTTTTCACAGCTCTTCAGATATCGTTCCATGCTGCCTCGGGGTGGGCATCACATAGATGTCTGCCTAACTGTTTTCCTAGTTGTTCCTGAAATATACTCTTAGCTTGACTATCATTAAGTAGGCCCCTAAGAGGTTTCTTGCAGCGTCTTTCCTACGTCCAGTAGGACGCAGGCGAATACGTGCTCCTACTAGAACATGATCTGAATCTAGGCATGTGCTCCAGGATAAGCGACAGTCTTCTATCGAGACCCTCCATCGGTGGCTGATAGCGATGTGATCTATTTGGGTCCAACGTTGAGACGAATTAGAGGGTCACCATGTCAAAAGATGTTTTTCCTTATGCTTAAAGTTAGTATTTGCAAGGAACAGGTGGTTATCTGAGCATAGCTGCAACAGACGATCGCCACTATCTGTTCTTTGAGCCACGACATCATAAGATCCACCCAGGTGTCTTTCTCTATCGCTTAGTTTACCTACTTGAGCATTAAAGTCATCGGCCACCATTACTACATCAGAGAGCCTAGCTTTTCGGAGAAGGTCGGAGAGCTTTCTGTAAAACTTGTCTTTTACATCATCTGAGCTGCAGTCAGTGGTAGAATAGGCAGAGACGACGAAGAGGCAACGACGAGTGTCCCTATCTTTTTGGATCCTTACTGTTCTGTTCAGTCGGACAGCGCACAAACGACTGTCTACTGGGATCCAGTCTAAGAGAGTTAGTTCTGCCTTAGAACTCAATGCTATACCTAAGCCGGCGAGGCCACGGGGAGCAGAATCAGGGCTTCCAGATACACGAAGTGTGAATCGAGTCGGTTCTTTATTTTGGCATGGTGAAGTCAGATGAATGACGCTAATCGGATCCTGTATGCGCGTTTCGGAGACGCAGCACACATCGATGGAGCGGGATTCTAAAGTCTTAGCTAAGGAAGCCTGCTGTCCTATTTGGCACAGTGTTCGTACTTTAAAAGCTCCTACGTGTAGTTTAGAGCGTGGTTTCAGGAGACCAGGAATAACGTTCCGCGCACTCGAATCATTTGCCCTAGCGGTGCGAGATGATAAAGAGACGTGAGGAGGGTCAGTCATGGAGATAAGGGAGGTATTAGGAGGTGTAGGAAGGATTTGAATATGACCAACTTGGTCTCGTGTGCTGTTACGGGTATGAGGGCTGATGTCACTTTCCGGCTGCCCACACCGTGGAAGGGTGTTTCTTGAGGAACCTGAAAAGGAAATTGGATTATTGTTGGTCTTAACGACCTGGGAGCGTGACCGCAGAGCCCAAGGGACAACTGCTTGAGGCCGGTCGCGCACGGCCTTTTCGTGGAAGGTTTTTAACGTGTTAGCTCCGTTCTTCAAAGGGCCTTACCACTAGAGACGGAAATCCTTGAGGTCAGATGAGGTGTGACATTTTTAGGGTCGACCTTTCTAATCCCACCTCTCCTTGCGAAAAGACAGCATAGCTGCAGATGCTGGTTGTCTGAGGGAAACACCTTACTGCTGTCACACCCCTCTACAGTCAGCAGTACGACTTTGCCCTCAGACCTTGAGTCGCTTCTTTTAGTCTTACTGTTCTCCAATGGACCTGACTGGCATGGTAGCACCTACAGGAACATGTATTCAGCCAATATAGCTCGGTCGGGTCATTACGATGGGCAAGCCCGACCACCGCGTCAAGGTAGCAGCTTCGGTCGGGCTGTCTTATGCTATTAAACATTATTCTAAAAAAATGCAATATATATGTTACAAAAGCAACTTTTGTCACACAATTGTTTTCATGGTTATGACTAAAGTGTTTCCCATTCATCCATGAATTCACTTTGAAAAATTTCCCAATCCTGCCTTCCTTATAAAAGTATTTTAATGCCAAGTAACTATTAGTGTATCTTGAAGTAAGAGGTTTACAGGTGTAATAAAATAGTGAAGTTTTTCGGCATCGTTTCAACTTTAAAAAATTACTTTAGTTTTTTTAAAGTATCCTTAAATCTTTACAGTCATAACGTATGCAAATATGCACATTTAGAACAGAAGCTCAAGCGATAACTTAAGGTGATTTAATTATAAGTCTTACATCCATTAGAAATAATGTATAGTTTGACTTATTATAACATTATTTCATTTTGTTTGATATAAACATCATTGCAAACTTGATGAATAGATATATAGCAGTTTGAGACTTCTGTAATGTATTTACCCTAATATGTTATACATAGATGTACTCAAAAATTTTATGTCATATTATCAACTATGATTCCCTCTCCGATTGTCTCATTAATGTGTTTGAAGTCACTCATTCAATAGTTCAGTATATGATGTCACTCTACGATAATGAAAAATAAACTCAAATAATTTCCATAAATTCACTATCTTGAAAAGTAATCTAAATTAAAGGTGAATTTATTTTATTTATAAAAAAGAAATAAATTCAATTTTTCAAAGAAATAAAACAAACACAAAAGGTCATTGAACATCGTCTATGAATTTGTCAGTGAAAGAAAATAAAACAAAATTATTATTTTATCAAAAAGAAAAACAAAATAAAATTACCTTTTAATAATTCTTTCTTTAAAGTTAATCCAAAACAACAACAACAAAAAATTATTCGATATTAAAAATGTTACAAATATTTTAGAATTATTTGATTGGTTTAAATTATTGACCAATCAGAATTTATTTAGTTCAAATATATAGAATAAATGATTTTCTATAATAAATTATTGAACTGAAATAATGTTGTCAATGGAAAGTTTATCATTAATTATTGGTATTCTAGTATTTATTTGTATTTGTTTATTTTTATTTATTTTACATCAAAGAACAACAAATTCTAAACAATCTTATCCATATACTAAAAATTTACGTCACACGTATTTTAATTCATCTATTATGAAATGTATAACATTATGTAATAAATTATGTTATTCTATTAAAACAACACATCAACATGATTTTGAAGCCAATAATACCAACAATAATATAGATCATACGTGCAATGTTAATAAATTAATCAATCCAGTAAATGTTCATATCTCTTCTTCAACTATACTTGATCCAGATCAACAAACTGATAGTTTAACATATGAACCAAATAAATGTATTGAAAATTATAAAATATTTCATAATCCTATTTATTATAATAATAATATTAATGGAAAATATTCACAATCATCAATGACAATTGATCATGATCCTATAAAAATTCTCTTATTCAAATCGAATTCAAATCTAAATTCGAAAAATTACTTTATACATAAAACATCTGATTCATCATTAAGTTGTAGTTATTTAAATGATATTACAAATCCATTTGATATTACTGATAATAATTCAAGTAATTTAAATAGTTTATTAGATAAAATATCTCAGCATAAAATTCATTTTAATAATAATAATTCACGTAGATTAGAATGTAAAAATTCACGAACTAAAATGTTAGCAATGAAATATAAAAATTATTTATATAGAATAAAACAATCATCTAAATATAATGAATTACATTCAAGATTACATGGATTATCTAATATAAAAACAATGTAAGTTATTTATGATGTATTTGTATCAGACCTTCAGGCTCCTAGTGTGGCCACCTAAGAAAACCACCTGATTCGGTTTGGGCACTCGATCAATATCACAGCCCTCACACATATCATATGACATCTGTATGGTGCATATTTATTTGGTGCCTTCTTGTACCAATATCTATGTATTAAAAAATAAAATAAATATATATTAAGCATTCTAATTATAATCATAGAAAATGTCATCTATGAAAATGATTATACATACGGATGTGTATTTATAATCTATTTATGATAAGTTAATTAAACGAGATAATATTCTATTTACGTGAGTGTGTTTAGATAATTTGTAGATCTGTTAGTTAATTATAATGATATTTGTAGATGGAAAAACCAGTTATGTCGGATTATACATTAAGGAGTTTAAACTATAAAAGTTAATAGCTTTAGAAAAAATTATCGAAATTTGGCAGATATTGGTGAATAAGTTAACAGCACTAAGATTATAACACATTATAACTTGTCAGTATAGGTCGTCTAACGCCTTCAAGTTTTCAACGGTGATCTAACATTGCTCGATACATGATCTCAATCATTATGACTTAACTTGACAATATTAGAAAAACGACGGTTTTTCCCTCTTCATCTTATTTCACAACTTTTCGCCAGATAACATGGTGCTTTCCAAACTTTAGTAATTGAAATCACGACTCAAACAGATTTATACTGATTACTGATGTCCTTTGCAATCATTATTCAAAGAAACTACTGCGATATAATATTCTTTATCCCAGTTTAAACCGCTTGAGAATTTTCATCATCAAGATTAAGTTTAAATTTCATCAAATCTATATACATGGTAAAAAAAAGTTCATTGATAACAGAGAAATCAACTGAAATGACAAAAATGTTTAGTTAATGTATACTTTCTTATAGTAACTAGTAATGAACTTGATAGATTAAGGGCTATAATGCATTGAAGGATTTCGTTTAATTTCCATGAAAATATGCATAGTTCTGTAGCGTGGTGTGGAGTCTGAATTGACTATGAACACCGCCACCAAGAAACACGTGCCAAGTAGATCAGAAGGCGTATGTTGAACGTAACCAAATAAATCCATAAAATCCCCGAGAAGCCAAATATCAGAAGACAGTTAATGGACCAAGTCGAGATATATTCGCTGGCGATCTCGTGGCATCGAAAGGATACCGAGATCGTGCCAGGATAGAAGCTTGGTTACGGAACGCAACCGAATTCGCGCGAAGTCACAATCAAAGTGTAAGAATAAGAATGGAAGCACAATATAGCTGTCATTAGAACAGTCAAACAAAAGCACGTTAAAACAAACACTGGTACAGTTGGTTATAATAATAATTGTTTTTATTAAACCAGTCGTGTTCTCGTGATAAATGTGAGTCACTACAGTTCTACGCAGCCTCAAACTATTTATCTAGCAATTTTTATTTTTATGAACGTTTCGTTTCGTGATAAATATAACATGAAGATCTAATTTTTCACAAAGTTGTATGAAACATAATTAGCATTTAAACAAAAGATCATTTATCGACTACTAATAAGTAGTATGGAGGAGTTCCATACTAGGACGTCCAGTGCTTCCAGGTTTTCCATGGTGATCTAGCTTTAATTGACCTATGATTTCAACTACTGAAATTACTAAAATCTCCACAAAACCCCTTCTGATACTAATAAATAGACAAAATATATACACTTACATTAAATAATTATTTGCTTAATTCGTCCAGATTAAAATATTTAGGTTTTGTGTACTGATAAATTTAATTAACAGTTCGGTAACTGTAGTTTTTTAAATACATATGATCATAATACAATTAAAGTAGGACGTATGAAGAATGTAAACTGTTTCATCTGATATTCAACAGACACTTATTGAAAAAGTACATATAAATGATAAACCATAGATTCACACATTTTCTTGTCTGATTACTTTGAGATATGCCATGTAAAAAGATTTAAAAATCTAATCGATTTAGTTCACTGTATCAGTAAATATTTTAAGGGAAAAATGACACGACTATAATTTATGAACGAGTCAATCAGATTTAGAGTAATGAGTCTTGGATTTTGTCTCGAAATTCATTCATCCATTTAGTTAAATAGCATATTGGCATTTTAACTGATGTAAATTCGTAATGAAAACCATAAATCAAATTCGTAACCCTAACTATCAACTGTAAATCATAACCCGTATTCTTCACACAGGTTTATAACTCTTATTTAGCTCTAGTAGGTAGGTGGACATTCTTAAGGTCACTTTTGCGTCACCTAAAGGTCGTCCATAAATTATAGTCTCACCGAAAAAGTTTTTAGTTTACACCTAGTGCTTTTTAAAAGAATAATGTTGAAATAATTATGGAATTCTTTCATGTTTCTACATATTTGTTTTGGGATTGATATTGATTATGGAAAATTTATTGAAGTCAATTTAATAAATTTTGTTATGGATCAACAAATTACTGATATTATATAATCACTAAAAGATCAAAACAGTCCTAGCAAAGAAAGATCAATTGCAGTTTGTCTTTTCTAGAATAGTTTAGCCTTCTTTTTTCTAGAGTATATTACTGGAAATTAAGTAGTCCCTTGTGAATATATTGTAAACTTTTACTTAACATTAGTTGGTCACTAAACAAAATGTTTATCTTATTTATATAAATAATTATATTATTTATAAATACTTTAAACTTTTCCAAGGTGACAGTTACTGAACTCTTGGATTTAAACTATAAGTACGACTTTGTTCTATCTTTCAGTCAACGTATATTTAAAACTTTTCACACTGCTCATTGTTCTTGAATTATTTTATCTTAATTCTATGAAATATTTGTTAAATCAACTGTGTATAAGTGTTATTAGATTTTTATTTAGTAAGTAGTTAAGTGCAAATGCCTTAGCTCCAATAGGGAACGGTTTTGTGACTCATATTCGGCTAAGTTAAATAAACAAAGCATTTCATTGTATGTTTCAAGTGATTAGGTTGTTAGTATAATTATAGAAAATGATTATTTCAAAATAACACCCCTAAAACCTACATGGATTATTCCTTTCATACTCCTACGAATAAAACAATTAAGCTTTTACGTTACAATTACCACTCTAAAAATAGTCTCAACCTTATCACATCTAAAGTGGATAACGCATCATTTTTGATCAAGAAATAAGCAATTGTGAAGTAATTATTTGTTAGTTAGGCATCAGATATCATTCTACTACTTCGGTTGTTAGATTATTAATAAATACGGTATTATAAACCTGTTGATTGAAATTGTTTATGTGATTTTTTAAATCTCTACTGGCGCTCCATAATAACATTTAGTCTAAGGAAAAGTTAGACTTGACCTAACAGATACAAAACGTTTGTTTAAAAAAACAGGTGTCTCCTGTTTAGTAAAACAAGTAAGGTGATATTTAGTTCATATTGGGACTTTTTATTAAGATGCATCAGTAACCTCAATTATGATACAATAAAAGATTTTATCTTTGCGATATTGTGATACTTTTGCATTTATTGAGTTACATTCTTAACGTCAATCCCGTTAGCAGTTGTAAATATCATTCACTAAGTAGGACAAATTTTTAAGGCCTGGTCATGTATTTGTTAAATATTTACTTATTTATTTATTTGAACACATAAACATTGGTTCAAGGGGGGCACAAAATACATATGCGCCACACGATGACAATGAGGCTAGTAGTAGTTATCACTGATTTTTGTGAGGGCTATGATACTGACCGAGCGCCCAGACCGAATCAGGTGGTTTTCTTAGGAGATTACACCCTGATTCTTTGATCTACAGGTCTAATCCGCGAGGCATTGGAGAAACGTGAGGAGATGTAGTCCCATGATAGCAAGTGACCAACAATAGGTTCATACGCCATTTGTTCCCTCAACAACCTGGATCCCATGTGCACCATCAGTTTGAAACCAGGGTTTTCCAACTTCCCTATCTATCAATCCGTTTCATGCGCCAGACATTCGTTCTTTGTACTCTCAATCTTGTAAACAACACCCATGCCACGAGAAGGCAGTGAATAGGACTGCCCTGACAGTGGCCGTATAAGCGTGACCATGTGAGAGCATTTAGAAAGCGCTAGTGAACTCTCTCCATGCTCATTTGTACCTGAGTATTTAGGGGCATATTAGTGTTTTAATCACAATCAAAAACTTAACAATCTCCAAACCTTATGCTGATAATTACCATGTGCTCACTAGTGACTAGCTTCGTGAGGAAATTCTCGGTGATCTAGTTAGTAGCCGTGACCAGTGGAAACCAATACGTGTCAGATAGAGACAGGCATCTGTATCAGACAATGGATGATGGTTGCGCAATTTCGTGAATTGGTTGAAGTTAGACATTAACACCATTTGATACCGACTCAGTGGTCTACAGGTTAAGTGTTCACGTGTGAGATCAAAAGTCCTGGGTTCGAATCCCACGAGTGGGACCGTGGATGCGCACTACTGAGGAGTACTATACTCGGACGGAGCAGTCGTCCACTGCTTCAGAGTTTTCGATGGTGGTCTAACATGGTGGTCAATCGATTCACTATGTCAATCAAATACGTAGTTTAATGGCCAGTTTAGAAGAAAGTGAAAACCTTAGAACAGTGTACAAAGTATTCAGATATAGTACAATATGCACGAAATCATAAGAAATATAAACCTAGGTTTCTGAATATGTTCGTTTTGTAGATATTGTATTAAGCTTGCCACTATTTATGAGATGAACAGATTTTGTTGAAATAACAGAGACATAAACCTCACGTATCATAGTTTCAGGTTTATAAATGATCTAACTATTGTTCGGATATTACACAATGTCATCTTTGGAGATCAGGTAATTGGCAGTTATACCGCAATATTAGTTTGAAAGTTACTGTTTCTTCAGTGTATTGTAGTTTGCTTATGTGTATACTGCTGAATAATTTGATATTCAGGATAAATTGAGTTATTTAGTAATCGGTTCCGATTTATTCATTATCAATTTTTATTTGTTAATTAATTATTAGTGAATGTGTTCAACAGCAAGAGATGGCTTTCTTAAACAGTGAATCCCCTTGGGTGAAGGCAAATAATACAACACACTGTAGTTCAAGCATTACAGGCCAAAGTAATCAATCTAGTAAGTCTATTCATAAAACAGGTTATAAAAACATAAGCTGACAAACTAGATCGCAGTATAAAACATTCCTATTGTTCACTTAGGCACCTGTAGCAGTAGTTTGTGTTTAGTAGGCAAATTACTTCCAACTTGCTAAGTTTACTGAATTGTAAAAACGAAATCAAATTTAGCTATCTGAGAGACAACGTACAGTGCATTATATGTAAATGGAAACATTTGTCTTGATTTCAAAGTGTGAATTAAGGTGTGTTTAAACATCATATTTACAAACAAGAGATGGGAGTGAGAACGTATTCTTCATCAATAATAGTCGTCATAATTGTTTGTGGGCTGGGATACTGCATATAAGCCCAAACCGATTCAGGCAGTTTTCTTACAAAGCCATTTTGTGAAACTTTATTCTAATGACATTACCCACAAAACCACAGGTCAACATGAGAACATTCCGACTAATGATAATCAACAACCAAAAGAAGGTTTATGCTCCATTTTCTCCCTCAGAATTTTGGAGCCAGTGTCAATTATATATTTGGATTTAGTGTTTATTAACTCCCTTCCATGAGACCTCTGCGTGCAACACTTTTGTTCGCTTCTTGCTCTCGCCCCTACAAAATGGCTCTTCAATGTGAAAAAAATTACTAAGACCTCCTTGACAATGGCACTTCGGGAGGAGGGCCGATTATTTGCGATCGCTGCTACATTAGAGCATTTACTTTTATCCTTTTATTAAATCTTGATTAAGCTTCTTTTCTTTTTTCTATCTATTCACAGTATCATTTCTTTATTTATGTAGAGCATTTTTATTTTGTTGTCCAGCTATACTAATATTTATGTGTATTAAATAACTTTGAAGTTTGGAATGTAAATGTAATAAGTATTTACGAAAGAGACATTAAAATTCCGTGCACTGAATGATACTCGGTTGGCATAAACTTCATTACTAGGTATGAATAATTGAGTAAATTAAACATTTTAATTTTTAAAAAAACTGACCTTACCTTTATATCAAACGTGGGTGATTTTTTCCAATGAAATAATTGTAAACCTGTGTGAACAACATATGTACATATAGATGACGTTTATGTAGAAGACATGATTCCACAGTAAATTACAAATGCATCAATGAAGTGTTAATTCCTAACATTCTTTTTAAGTAACTATCTGTTACTTGCCCTAATGTAAAACAAAAAGTTGTTTCAAATTTGAGGATCCTTTTTTGTCATGCATAGAAGACACTCTATCTCATATTGATTAAGCTCTATACTATTCTCATGAAAAGAATGTAATAATATATATATATATATATATATATAATGTATTTTAGGTTGTTCGAGCAATGAGGATGAAATTTTACTGTCTATCTGTCCAAAAGCACGTGATCCAACTAACATTCTGGCCGACATACATGTTCCATTGAATAAAATTATCTTCAATAATGTGGTTCTGCAAGGTAATGATATTTTTGTGTTACATATGGAACAGTTATGTGCTTATTACTATCAGTCGTTCGTTAAGTAATTTGAAAAGTAGGCTTTTAAGACATAGGGCTTCGTCAAATCAGATCACATGTAGGTGTTTAAATAAGGTCAAAAGTTTTTTCTTATTATTGACTGAGTAAACTAGAAGTGACTCCACTGGACCATTATGAAATATCGTACTTACTCTCGAGCATTGTATGCTAGATTAAATCATTGCATTGAACTAAACAGTGTTTGAAATAACTAATGGAGGTTATGGTCAGTGTAATCAGTGATAGGATTAATTTTAAATTGTAGTTAAACGCAAACACCTTACTAATGATTTTACTAAACTCTACAAACGTCTGTTTTTCATTTATTAGTGCAATCAAGTAAAATGTTCTTCATGTAAATTTTAGTTATTGCCTCCTACAGTGAGCTTTTGACACAAACAACAAAATTCAACTACTTATACAGTATAGGCATTGTGCTTATACTGCAATAATTTTCCTCTGCTTTACTGACAGAAGACTTTAGTGATTAGAAATAGAGTAGCTATGTACTCGTTACTGCTATAGATTTGTTTCTCATGATATTCCAGTTAGTTACTTTAGAGTATTAAGTGAAATAATCAATAGTAATTGATTTCATAAAATTAACACAAGAGCAAATCTGTAAATACGACAGTCTACACAACTTATTATTCATATACATATATAATCTGCTAGGAATCTTTAAGTAACGTAATTGGACTGCTCAAAGTTGAAATGAAAGTAGAATACGAATTTCAATAAGAGTCCATATCGTAATAAATGTACATTTGATCCAACCCATGTGATGAGATTTCCAGTCGACCAGTATAAATCCATAGGTAACTTTGTACTCAAATTTCATACTAATTAGTAAGCATAAGTGACAAATGTAATCGATTAACTTATTCACATAACAACAGTCCTCAACCAAAGCCTGTAGTGGACTGTGAACCAAAAGAATACAGTATTTTTCTGACTGGCAGTATAACATCTGATAGTTTTTCATACAATTCAAAAAGTTAAAAGTTATTAAGAACAACACTGGTCCTTGTAAGCAGAGATTGATGGTGGCTAGCAGTGTAATCCAAGACGCTTATTTCGTCTTATTTTGGATAGCGCGATGGCGTTTGAAGCGAACAGTAATGGGTTCGAATCATGGAGTGGACATCAACTGTTGGATGCAGGTACATCCAGCTGACGAGTTCCGATTAAGACGAAACGCGTCTCCTGAATTCCATTGCTAGTCACTATCCATCTTTGCTTATAAAGCTCGTGACTTAAAGCAATATCGAGGAATTCGGTACAGCATGCATATATGCCAACAAGAGACTGATCAATTGCACAAGAATGGGAAGATACAAGCAAACAATACCAAGGGAATTTAACATTGATCCTTTTTCATAGAAACAGATTTCTAAAATGATGCGTTATGTTTGTATGCAACTAATAAAAATACTACTGTTTCATCTGTTGAAAATTATTATGGTTTAAATCATTCACAAACGTCTCTATCTGTTGAAAGTTTTTCCTTAATTTATTCAGGAACATTTAGTCAACTGTATGAAGGAAAACTCTTGGTATCATTTCGAAGACATGGTATTTGTACAAGTAAATGGAAGCAAGTATTAATCAAAACACTAACTGGTTTGTTTTTAGTTTGAATAAATCTTTTAAAACTTTCGTTTTTTTGCTGAAGGTGGTTTTTTCCCTGTTAGTTTTAATGGATAATTTATATAATGTTTCATCCTAAACCATAATATTCTAATGAACTTTAAGATAAAAAGTTATTTATTGTATGTAGCTCTTAAAGATACAAACAACATTATGAAACCTAATGTCAAAGATTAACAGTTAGGAATCCGGTTATCTTTAAAAGAATAACAATTTACTTAGAGTTGGTTTTGTGCTTAAATAATTGCCGTCAATAAACAGATCCATATAGTTTCATTTATCAATGATTTTGTTTTATTATTTAATCTGAATTGATGAATTGATCTCAACAGCTCAGCTATCCAGTAATAAGATATTCTTTATATCTATGGTAACTATCACTTTTTGACATGTATAAAATGTTTCTGATGATATATGTAAATATCTATGAAATGATAAGATGGAATAACAATTTGAGAGATAAATAATTCCAAAAGACTTCCATGTTATAATAAACGATAAATGATCTTGATTTATCACCTAAATACCACTTCAAATTAAAAGTTTTTCAAAACTATAAATTCAAGGAAAACTATAAATTATTTTATTGTACACGTGCTATGAAATAAACTATTTTGTCACATCTTTCATTGAAAGTAGAGTAACAAGAACCTACTGAGTTTCTACAAAAACATTTTCAAAGAACTGTGGTTCTTCTTGTTCAGTAGTACTTTCCTTAAAGTGGAACATTGATAATACGACTTGTATGTCACATTAAAAAAAACTGGTATCTATTTTATTCATTTATTTTGAGTCCTAGTAATTATTGTTTCCAATGCCGGCTCAGTGGTCTAATGGTTAAGTGCTCGCGCGCGAAGCCAGTAGGTCCTGGGTTCGAGCCCCGCGTGGTGCGGGATCGTGGGTGCGCACTGCTGAGGAGTCCCATACTAAGACGAAACGGCCGTCCAGTGCTTCCAGGTTTTCAATGGTGGTCGAGCTTCAACTGACTCATGATTTCAGTCTGTGAAATTAAATAACTATGATTTTCTTCCACATTCTCTACAAGTGATACATAGCAAGAATATAACGTACGAAGAAGAGTATCTAAAACTTGGACAAATGTCCTGGAGCACTGAGTTCTTTAATTTTATTTTGAAGTACAGTGTAGGATAAACTGAGCATTGATTTTAATCTATGAGTAAACGCATCAATCCCTATTTTTTCTGTATGTTCTTGTACACTTAGTTATAAAGAATATTTTCTTTTCTTTATTATTATTATTTATTTATTTCCTCTCTTTAAATATATCGCGATGTCTAACAATAATCAAACAGAAAAAGCCACAGCAGAACAAGTAAGACTTTTCAAAAGTGATGCATGTAAATTTGTTGGGGCAAAACATTCACATATATCGTCCATTATTGCAGCTTCGAGTACGTCAGTTTGTGTAAGTTCCATATCTAATCAACAAATAATCAATCAACCGATTCTTATTTATTCAAACGCCAAATATGGAAATTTAAAATTGTTCTTGCAAAAGCGATCAAATGGGAACATGAGACCAAATATGGTAAGTAGTTGTTTGTCATTTTTATTGTAAAACTGAACAAATGTACTAACTGGCATAAGTAAATAAAAGATTTTTTAGTATTGAGTGTAAAAGCTAAACAAATTTCGTACTATAAATTAAATTTTCTATTAGCATACCATAGGTTTGGGCATATACTTCGTAATTATTGCGTATAACTTTATGGAGTAATTGTCACAAATAATTTATGCCTAGACCAATGATAAAAACATATAAAAGTTTAATAGTTTAATGAATTAGTCGATTTAAGCCAAGCCGAAAGCTCTGAGTTTGAGTCCTGTGTGCGGAATCGTGGATGCGCACTGACGAGAAGTTCACTACTAGGAAGAAACGCCCGTTCAATGCTCCCTGGTTTTTCATGCTGATATAGCTTAAATCGACTCATGAATTCAACATGTAGAAGTATAACGGCGGTCTGCTTGAATATCTGGGATACCTGTTTCTGCCATCTAATTATTTCAACACGTTATCTGTTTTTTATTTTGTTTCAACGTCTCATTATGTCCATTAATCGCATAACCTATACAGGCGCGTTTATAAAAAGCCTACGATCTTTCGCTGCACAAGTTAAAAAAGGTACTATGCGTTAAAAAGAATGAACATTGATCGTATGTCGATTCCCGAGCTGCTAAATTCTAACTGTTGATCACTAATCAACAAAGTGGACTATCTTCAATTCCTACTAAGTCAAAATATGTATCGTAATTGTGGTGTCATCACAATTCAAGAATCTTTGTTGAATGATTTATAGGATGACTGCCTAGTATCACTACGTGATTTCAAAATTTACCGTCAGGATCGATCAAACAATAAAAAGAGGTGTGGCGGCGGTGTAGCTACGTTTTTAAATGTGAACTGGTGTCGATCTTCGTTTGCGTGTTTCACGTTTTCAAATGAATTTATCGACTGTCTAACTCTAAGATGTCGTCCAAAACATCTGAATAAATACAAATATGTTTATGTTACCAATATCTACGTGACTCCATACTGCACATCATCTGCGCTATCTCTTTTCGCTGATGAATTCACTGAGTTCGCTGTTACTGCCTTCAGTGATTCACTTTCAGTTGTATGTGGCGATTTCAATTCATGTGACTGTAGCTTCCTTACATCACTACGTCACCAAAATGTAGTAGATTTTCCTACTCGTTTGGATGCTCCAGTCACTTAATTTATCCCGATGTTTAAAACCTGATGGTATCCCATACCTGCTTTTTTTAAAAATGTGCGAACATTAACGGTTTATCTAAAGAAAACAGGTAGTTCATGTAAAACAAGTTCAATCTTAACCTTAAATACATCATAATTATGAGTGACAACATATCATACAGGACGTAAACTCTGCATTTAAACTTAAATGAAGTTTTACAATGATCTAAATCAGCAAAGACTAAACCTACTGGTTGATAGAAATTTAATTTTTATCTAATATATATTTTATATAATATCATATGATATGAATACGTTGAAAATAAAATTTTCGGATGTTCTATTTCAATAAAGTTTATATGAATTGCACCGTAGAATATGACTTTAGATAGCATGAGATAGTATAATCATAAATGAAATGGGGGATAATTTAGCTTAGATGTAAACTTTGTTTATCATAGGGATCAATGTCAACCTTTACTTATTTGAAACAAACAAAACTAGATCGAGTTATCGAGGACAACAAAATGTTGAACTATATTTGACCTAAATATTACTTCTTCTGAATAAAGCAAGAACAATGATTTCAACAGGATAACCTAGATTCGTTTTGTTTAGGTAGGTTTCACTTTGGTGCTGATAATCTGTAGTGTTTTAAAATCATAGGGAGTTGTGTTAATGGAAATCAGGTTTATACATTGAAGTGTCTCAAAACGATTAGTAGATAACCTAGTTCAAGCCTTCTGTAGCTTGCTAAAGCTATTTCTGTCAGACATCAGAAAGATGATTTATGTGTTCAAAAAAAGAGTGATTTCATTCCTTGTTTGCTCTAGAAACATGAACATTGTTTCATTATGTCATCAAATTTTTTTTTGGTTTTTTCTTATGTGATTAATTCATTGTTTCAGTTTTTTGGTTCTATTCTAGTCTAATAATTTTATTTCCGATTAGTTGGGTTATTAATCATTTTATTCTTATTTATCAATGACGTTTGTTCATTACTTGACCAATTGCTTCTAGTCCTTTAATCTCTAACCACTATCATTGTTCCAGAATATCTTTCTGTATACTCTAGGTGTTTAAAGTATGGTGTACTGAGATATGCTCACAACAACTTCAAGTTAAGCTTATCTATATCAATATTTTTAACCCATTTTTAAAATAGTTTCTTTTTAAAACATTACAGGTTACAAGAAACTGACAAGAACCTTAATTAAATATAGCAAATTCATACCGTTTTGGTTAAATCTTCATTTATGGTCTTTTCAAGTTAAACATAGATCGTTTATGCTAGTTGTTTAGGTATAAAATGTTACAAATGTATATAATACAGAATTTTTGGAAAAAATAAATGAAGAGTTAGACTGAAACAAAAGATCTTTTGATTGAGATCATGATCCGATTGATGTTAGACCACCATTGAAAGCCTGGAAGCAATGGACGGCCATTTCGTATTAGCATGGGACTCTTCAGTAGTGCCCATCTACGATCCCACTCGTGGGATTTGAGCCCAGGACATTCGGTCTCGTGAGCGAACGCTTAACGTTTAGACCACTGAACCAGCATCCAACGGTATTAATTTCTAGCCTCAACGAATCCACAAAAGATATTCTCAATTTAAGTTGGTTAATAATTTCAGAAGGTAGAAGTAGTAGTGGAACTTATTTCCTAGTTTGCATAGTTTTACTTGACTAGCTACTGATTTAACACTTATATATCGGCAAAAGTGTTTTCTACTGTATTTTGTTTTAAAAATGCACCCTTAGAAATTTAATTTTTACCGTAATTATAATAGTTGTTGTTATTGTCTAGTAAACAGCATACTTTCTGTTTATCTACTTTTCGGGAAGAAAATGAATTGAAGTTTGGATTACTCAAAAATGTTAACAAAATGTATTTTATTTATCAGCAATTAGGAATGATTATTATTTATAACTTGATGATCATTATTATTTTAATAAAGTTTTCAATATTCTTTTGTATAATGCTCATAGATACTTACAGCTGCTCAACTTATCAACATGGCTTTACAAATTCTTAGTGCAGCAGATTATTTGCACAGTATAAATGTGATTCATGAAGATATTGCAACACGAAATTGTCTGTAGGTATATTAATTTTATCACTGAATTCATAAATGTCTTTGGAACAGTTTCAGTAAAAGTTGGTTATTTGTAGACGATTATCAAGAAGTTTTGAACATAGGTTTCATATTAGCCAAAGATCCCTTGGAATGATAACCTGTACTGTTGAATTAAGTGCCGTTTCTTCGATGACTGAAATCCGTGTCATTCATTTTGATAGCCTGTGGCTCTACGACTGAGCTATTTGGTTTGTAACTGTGGGAGCTTGTGGTCGATTGCAAGTACTTTATTATCACAGATGGTGTTAATAACCCAAGTGACTTAATTGCAAGGTCAGTGCTTATACTGCGTAGAGTTACCTATTCAAATCAAAAGAATATCTTTATTCACAGGTTTTCAGACACATTCAGACGTATCAGCTGGCACGAAGTCTAAGTTAAGAGTTTTATACAGATTACTTTCAATCGTTTAACATTTAAATAAATAGATGCAGTCATCTTCATTTTTCGGAGCAGTTCACTCAGCATTTATAATAAATCTGCATGATATAAGATACCACTACAAAACTGAATCGCATATTTGAATCAAACTTCAGGGTATAAGATGAATGTATTGCACTGCGTTGAAACACGTAACAGACAAGCGTACAATAGGATTAAAAGTGTTCACTCAGAACTAATATGATTGCCACTGATTATTTTTTCCTAATGTGCATTTAAAATCCCACCGATGAACAGAAGTTAACAAGGCAAAAAATTTTACATTGCTTAGGTGTAAAAAACATGAGGATTTTAAAATGCTTCAGCTTTTCCAAGTCAAATGATATAGATCCTTGGGGTCGTCATAAAATTTCAACTGATGTTTCAAGCTAATTTACAATTATTAAATTCACTCAAGAGGCAGATTTCTAAGGTTTGAAATTTGTTGACAGATAATGAGTTTCAGAATATTCATAAAAATAAAGCTTGAAGGGGCTAAAAATAAAAAAAACATGGTTAATTTGATAGTTTTACTGAAAGCAGTCAGTAACAAGGACGGAAGACAATGTTTCGTTTAAGTTATAACTATTCAAATTTCCCTTTCTCTAGCTAACTTCATTTCTAATGATTACAATCTTTTTTTTACAAGATTAAAATGTAGAACACGTGTAGCTCTTAGTGATTCGGCACTCAGTAGAGATCTATTTCCTGAAGATTACCATTGTTTAGGTGATAATACAAATCGCCCAGTGAAGTGGTTAGCATTGGAAGCGTTGATCGAAAGAAAATATACTATGGCAACAGATGTTTGGTCTGTTGGAATAACGTTATGGGAGCTTATTACTAGAGGCCAACAACCTTATGCCAGTATAGATGCATTTGAAATGACAGCTGTACTACGAACCGGATACAGACTGAAAAAACCTCATAACTGTCCAGATGATTTGTGAGTTTTACTTCTGTTTGTTCAAATTCTGTTGGTAATAACCCAGTTTGTACTGTTGTTATTTTACATTTAGCAGTTGTAAGAATATTTTCAAGATGCCTGAATTCGACATATTTTAAGCTAAGATACTGACGAAATAGACATCGCAGATGATCTGGCTCTTCTACTGCACACGCAACAACAAATGCAAGAAAAGACAACCAGTGTAGCAGCATGTCTCAGAAGCAGTAGATCTCACAAAGCGAAAAGCAAGATTCTCTGATACAACACAGCATACACCAACCGAATCACATTTTATGGAGAAGCTTTGGAAGATGCAAAAACCATTACATATCTGGACAGCATCATTGATGAACAGGGCGGATCTGATGCAGATGTGAAGGCACGGATCGGCAAAGCATGAGTAGCATATATACAAATGAAGAGCATCTAGAACTCAAAACAAATGTCAACCAACACCAAGATCAGAAATTTCAATACAAATTTCAAGACAGTTCTACACTATGGGGCGGAAACTTAGACAACTACGAAAGCCAGTATCCAGAAGATACCAGTGTTTATTAACAGCTGTCTACGCAAAATACGTCGGATCCAATGGCCAGACACTATCAACCACAACTTACTATGGAAGGGAACAAACCAGATTCCAGCAGAGGAAGAAATCAGGAAGAGGCGGTGGAAGTGGATAGGACGCCCATTGAGGAAATTACCGACCTGCGTCGTAAGGCGAGCTCTCACTTGGAATACTGAAGGTCAAAGGAGTAGAGGAGGACCAAAGAACACATTACGTCGATAATTGGAGACAGACATGAGAAGAATGTACAACAATTGGATAGAAGGAGAAAGGAAAGTCCAGGACAGAATGTGTTGGAAAATGCTGGTCGGGGGCCTATGTTCCATTAGGAGTCACAGGCGTAAGTATGTAAGCAAGTTAAGAATTGTGGAAAGTTACAGTAACATGTTAGAGAGTGCGCTTAATACGCTTCAATACATTATATATTATGAGTGTTATAAACAATGAGTTTAGAAAAAAAACAATATTAGTACACATATACAGAACTTAACAGAATACAAAAAGCACTGAATTTAAAGAAAAAATAAAGATATTAATATAAACGGACTATCGCCACTTTTGACTGATAGAATTCACTTCATAAATCTGATAATAACTAGATGTAAGATTACATCAAATGACATTATCTCTGTGTACATATAAAGGATATATATATTAGATGACAGTTGGAGTTTCCTTCAGAACTTACAATCACTTTTTATTATTGATCATAAAAATGATATTCGGCATAGATAAATTGTTTCGCAGAGTATATACATATATATTCCTCACTGAAATAATTTTAATTCCTGTGGCAATAATAATAGTTCATAATATAAGAGAATTCTTTTAAAAAAATATCAAATTAGGTTATTATACATTGAGATATACAAATATATGGTTGTTTAGTATTTTATTCAATAAAATGAACAAAACTATGGTACTTTAATGGGTTTTACTTTATGCTTAGCAAAATTTTTCAACTAACTACCCATGAGATATTATGCATTTTAAGAAACTAGAACAGCTGTTGATAAAATAAATATCTTAAAAATGAATCGGTTAGTTACAAATTGAATATAAAGGCTTCCGAAAATCGGTATATAGATAACATATGTTATGTTGTTGATCAAAGATAACTTAGTAACATTTACGTTCCAATATTATTTATGCAAGTTAAGTGAAGTATACTATGATTTCAATTTAAAGGCTTTTATAAGTAGATGAATATAATATACTTTTGTGATCTATAGTTATTGTGTTGTTTGGTTTTATATTAAACTTTTCTGTTTTAATCAGGTCAAATCTGAATAAAAAGTAACATTGAGTCTTTTGTTTGTGTGAGATAGTTCTCTAGATGATGAGATTTAATTTTCAACAAACAGATTTTATCTAAATTTAAATTTATATTCCTAATAAATGTTACTAGAGTAAACAGCTACATTATTCTATTGATGATGTATTGTATTTATTGACTTACAGTCTAATATAATATTTGAATAATAATCTACATATTATGAAATGAAGTGTAGTGATTATAAGACAGAAAAGTTACATAACATTGAACAAATTGTTTCTCTCACTCTGATATACTTGAAAGTTGTTTTTTTTACTATTGAATATTCAGTGCAAGAAGCATCTTCCAGATAATATTCAAAGTAATTATCATCTTATAATTGTATTTACATTTGGAAGCATATTCAACCACTTAATCAATGATAATTGATGTCAAAGGAGAGAATTAATTCCTTAAAATGATTTGCTGAGGTTACAAGAAAAATAAATTGTCATTTAATCAACATTAATCTGGTTATTATCCGCAATTTGCTACTATGTATTTTTAATGACTAGTGGTATCCAGCTACTTTAAAATAACTTTTTAACCTTTTCTAGAAGTTATTATTTTGATCTACATTTCTTACGCTGATATATAAAACTCTATCATCATATGTATTGTTATGGTTACTTACTTGCGCCTGTTACTCATGGAGGAGCATAGGCCGCCGAAGAGAATTCTCCATCCAATCCTGTCCTGGACGATGCTTTTTAGTTCTCCCCAGTTGTTGTTCATCCGTTTCATATCTCCTATTTCCCGAAGTGATGTGTTCTTTGGCCTTCTACTTTTCCGCTTCCTTCCAGGATTCCAAGTTAGGGTTTGTCTTGTGATGTAGTTTGGTTATTTCCGTAATGTATGTCCTATCCATTTCCATCGTCGTTTCCTAATTTTCTCTTCATCTAGGAGCTCGTTTGACCTCTCTCACAGCAGGCTGTCGCTGATGGCATCTGGCCATTGGATGCTGAGTATCTTGCGTAGACAACTATTTATAAATACTTGTACCTTCTTGTTGATGGTTGTGGTAGTTCTCCAAGTTTCATCTCTGTACATTAGAACTATCTTGACGTTCGCATTGAAGATTCTTTGATACTGGTTGAAAGTTGTTTTGAGTAACATATATTATTCGATTGTATGAATGCGCCCCTTGCTTTGCCAATCCCTGCTTTTAGGTCTTCATCTGATCCTCTTTGTTGATAGATGATGCTTCCTAGATACGTGAAAGTTTCCACATATTCCAGAGTTTCGCTATCAAGTGTAATTGAGTTGGTATTCTTAGTTTTGTATTTGAGGATCTTGCCTTTTCCTTTGTGTCTCTTCAGGCCTACTGATGCAGAGGTTGCTGCTACACCAGTTGTCTTCATCTGCATTTGTTCATGTGTATTGGATACGAGGGCTAGGTCATCTGTGAAGTTCAAATAGTTTAATTGGTTCTGAGCTGTCCATTGTATGCCATGTTTTCCCTCAGATGTCGAGGTCTTCATAATCCAGTCGACCACCAGAAGAAAGAGGAAGGGATAGAGTAGACAGCCTTGTTTGACCCCGGTCCTTACTTGGAATTCATCTGCCAGCTGTCCTGCATGCACGACCTTGCACTGTAGTCCGTCGCATGAGTTCCGGATAATATTGACAATCTTCTCAGGAACTCCGTATTGTCGAAGAAGTTCCGATAATGTTTTTCTGTCCACACTGTCAAACGTCTTCTCATAGTCAATGAAGTTGATGTATAGTGATGCGTTTCACTCAACGGATTATTTGACGATGATCCGTAGTGTCGCAATTTGGTCTGTGCGCGAACGATCCTTATGGAATCCAGCCTATTGATCTCGATGTTGGGTGTCTACTGGGTCTTTCATTCGGTTTAGCGACACTCTGTTAAAAAATTTTCCTGGTACTTACAGTAGTGTGATTTCCTTAAACAACACACCCGTCACGAGAAAGCATTGAGTAGGACTTCCCTGGCAGAGGCTATATACACGTGGCCATGTGAGAGTATTTCGAGAGGGAGAGCTGACTCACCTCATGCTCAGCCATACCAGAGCATTTAACTTTTTGTTTATTAAAAAACTTTATAAAAATTAGTTGAAAAATTCATCACTGATAATACTGTCATAAAAATATACTATAAATAATATAAAACACAAATGTTCATTTTATAAGTAGGTAATGATCAGAGCTCTAATCAAAGTAAACCATTACTTAGCAATTATTTATTCTTTCAATTTGACATTTAAACAAAGTCAGTACTAATATTCTTTCAAATTTTCCTTTTAAATATAAATGAATTTTAATGAAGACATTTAATTTACTATCCAATTAATTACTGTCCAATTACTATCCAATTAATTTTTTTTTTAATTATTAAATAGATGGAAAATTATATTTGCATGCTGGAAAACAAATCCTTCTGCTCGACCAACAATTCGTCAACTTATTGCCAAATTAAAAGCATTTAAAGTTGCAGTAACCAATTATATTTAATTCAAAATAAATATTAAAAACAAAAAATCTAGATAATATTTTTATTAAACAAGAGAACACAGTAATTCATATTATATTTAATATTTCTAAATATAGATGTATGTAAGCATAGAATTTATTTGTATCCAGGTTAAATCTGTGGTTGGATAATAAATATTCAAAGTATTAATAAAACAAAAATGATATCTATCATGTTTTTCATGATTAGAAATGATGATAAAATTTATATACAAACGAAAGTTTTATATTAGTATTATTGTGGTATGTGCTACTTATATTGACATAAGTAATATATGATGTTAGTCGTGAACAGAAGGTCTGGAAGTAAAAAGACAAGAGGATCGAACAATAAAGCATGAAAACAGGATGCAATTTGTATGAAAATGCAAGAACAATGAAGTCTGAGACATTTTTAGACAATTGGTGGACATTTTGCAAATTAAGCATTTACTTTATGATTGTTAGATTTTATTCACAAGTCCTGTAATTTTGTGTTAAATACATTCGTTTGTCCCCACTGATGTTCTGTTCACTACAGTATGATTATATAAGTATCTATGTATCAACTAAGTACTGTTTACAAGGGGTTCCTAAAACAAAATCGAATTCCAATGATTAACATAGATAATTCTAAATATATGTAGTTGCACTTATGACAAATAATACAACTATAATAAGCCACATAATATACAATAAATTGATATAACTGAGTACTTTAAAGATTATATGAGTTAACATTATTCTATAGAATATAAAAACTAAAGTTTTGTTGATTGAACTATAAAGTTACAAAAAGAAGTATAGGTTTACCTTGAAACATAGCGTTACAGTAATCTATCAAAATATCCAAACTAAATCTTCTTTTATGATAGACACAACAGAAAAGTCATTTAAATAGCGATATTACGCCGATAGTAGACTTTCGAAATTAAATGGAGTTTTGTTTTTAAATCGGTATGTAAATAACCATGACTATATGAAGGGAATCTTTTTTGGTAATGAAACTTGAAGATCAATGTAAGTTGAAAATTTTACACACAATTTATTATGCTTATGATAGATTTTTTATGTAAACAAGAAGAATACTACTGCCTTATTTATTTTATATATCACTACTCTGTTATATAAATACTACAGATAATGCATATGATTGTTGTTTTCTACTCAAATACTCATTTTTAAACTCCTTATTGTAAATTTATTTATTTGTCGAGAATGTGTAGAATTAGCAGATACTGGCTTCAAGATATAAATCTCGGAGTTTCAATGAGAAACCATGATCAATAAAAATCAATCTGTGTTGAGTGTGATGGAGTTGCCCATCGAAGACAATAGAAGATGTTTGCACAATATCAGATATTGGGTGAGGTTAGACATTAACAACGTTGGATGCTGGCTCAGTGGTTCAGAGTTTAAGCGTTGTTAATAAATGTATGTTGGTTTCATCAACAACAAAATAGATATTCAGTGATACCGGCTTTTCAACAGTTATTTCATCCGAGTTGGTTCGTGATTTCAAATCACAAAATCTAACAACCTTCTCACCACTCCATATTAATGAATTTTGTCATTGGCTACGGCTACCCAATGATCATCCGACTATTTAAATTATAATATAATTTTAAGTTTTCTGATTTCTATATCAACAGTGTGAGAAAAATGTGAAAAAGTGACAAAATAACACAAGTGCATAGAATTATAAATTTCACAATATTCGGAAATAGCTACAAAATGCATAAACATTTCAATAGAGCAAATCTAAACTACAATTGTATGGTCCAATTAATGGTGCATATACCCAACTGATGAAAGCATCTGGAAATAACTCAGTCAGTGTATCAACACTGAATAGTAAAGGAAGTATTATCATAACGTCGTAAAGCAATATATACCATCGATATTCGTTATGCATAGTAGATGATGGATTTGGGTTTAATTGAGGTTTATTTTTACCTACAGATGTTGGAAGATATTGAAAGTTTTTCTACAAAACTGTCCACATAGATTCAGAGACTTGATTTGTATGTGACAGCATCCTAGAAATCACTGTTCATTTAGATCATCAAATAAATATACTATCATTTTCTTTGTCTTAGCTGTTGTTTAAATATGAGACATTTAAGTTTGATCATCGAATATTCTCAAATTCTAAGAATATATATTTAATGTGACAAATGAATACTTTGAAGGATTTCTAAATAATAAGGTTTAGAAATCTGATAAAAATTAATGATTATTTCATGTTTGTGAAACCAGTTTCTATTTACTGAATAATTTCAGCACACAGACATATAAACACACAACTATGAACAAAGAACTGTTCTATTCAATAAACTGTCTTCATGTTCTACAATCATGTGTCCAAATTAAAATATTGTCAACATGATCAAGTGTGAGGTCAATACATATATTCAAATGATAACATGTGAATTCGGGATTATTAGTAAAATAAATTGAAATTGTTAATGTTTAGATGAATTGTAAACTGTGTTAACTTGGACAAGTTTATATTTTGAATGAAATTGTGAGAATAATGATCAGACATAATATGGGCAACATGGGTTGATAGAGAGAGAAGTGTAATTACAAATCATAATACGTGTCTAGTCAGACATTACGTAATATGTAGCATAATATAGTATGTAGTATGATATCCAGCTCAGGTAATGGGAGATCGTCACTCTGGATCATGGATGGATTGAAGTTAAATATTAAGACTGTTGCATGTTGACTAATTGATCTAGAGATTGAGTATTTGCGTGCGAGATCGAAGGTCCTTAGTTTGGATTCCACGTACGGAATGATGAACGTACACTGTTGAGGAGTGCCAAGCTAGGACAAAGCAGTCATCCAGTGCTCTCAGGTTTTCAATGGCAGTTGAACTTAGATCGATTTCAAATGTCAAAATACTTTAATGTAAACAAATCCCCATACTGTTCATATGAATTATGAAGGAATTAGTTAGCATGGGTGGGTACCAAATAAATTTCTCACATCGTTTGCAAGCGTCATAATAGTAATATGTAGGATTTAGTTTAAGCTATAAAAAGGCAAAGAGGAAGTCTGTTTTCATGTTAGTCACATTCTGTCACCAAATTATCATAATGATTGTTAACTTATCAAGCCATAAGTTGATCAAGGCAAAATGATTGATTAAGCATATTTCATATGTACACATAATCTATCTTGTCGACCTCGATCTAGATTGATTATTGTTAATCTTTAGCCTCGCATTGTCTACTTCTATATTTTAATTGTATATCCCATTTATTTGATTCTTGATCCTATATATTCGTCTATGAACAATAAAAGCTCCTCGAATAAACTATTCAGTTCAGAGAACAAAACTCTACCTAAATAATCTAGAGTTGATTTTTATTATTTAAAATAAAAATTCATTCCACTTAGAAGTACAGTTATTACATTAAATAAATTACATTGAAATGAGATTAAATTAACTAAATAACTGAAGACAAACGATGCATATGACATTTTGTTTGTTTGGTTAGTTGGGTTTTTTTTCTAAAAAAAGAAATTAAAACAGACAAGAGAGATAATAAAACCAAGTCAATTTGATGGGAAAATAAATGTGAATAGAGAGAATTTCAATTATCTGGACACTTATATACAAAAGACAGAGAGAGATTATTGCATCATTTTCGATAGAAGAAATTGAATAGTTTCTATGGTCATCTAACTCCTTTTCTTTATTTCTAGAAACGTTCCTTTACTTTCTATAAATTAACTAATTTTCTCTCTGAAATTCCTTTTTTTTAAATTCTTTCTCATGATTATCATTATCTCTGTAATTAAACTTCTTTCTAGGAAGAAAACTATTAAAAGAAATTATATAATGCAAATTGTCTTATAGACATAATGTGTTTACTTCCACACTGAGAAGAAAGCTTTGTTCATACATTTCATTATCATCATTGTTTGTAGTTGAGACATGTTATAAAATGATAGAGAAATATAAAGAGAAAAAATATATGAAGTAAATTGTTAGAATTAAAATAAACCAAGGGATATTTCGATGATTAATACATCACATATTATCCTTGAGTATAGAAGCTGAAAGAAACAATAATGGTCATTTGCTTTAATAATGAATTATGATTTCTAATACTAAAGTAAGTAATAATACAAGAATATTTGGAATGTAACTCTCTCCCTATAAACATATGACTATTTTTGTATTGATATACTATAATCCTGAAGTGGTCGAACTTAATAATCGTTCTACTGATTTTTGTGGTATTATAAACCGTGATCTTGGTGATTAAAGTAATCCAAGCATGGATGAAAGCTTTACTTTCCTAATGCTAAGAAGATATCTGTTCATTTATTAAACATAGAGAATACCGAATAACTGTATGCAGTTTCATCTGATTATCATATAACTTTACCGTTATCATCAAAATAATGTTTTTATGTCTTTCTTACATTACATAATTTTGATATGAAGCATGATAAGGAAACGGTATTTGAGATAAGAAAGTGATGTCGAAATAAGTAAACTGCTTACGGAATCAAGAAATGTACGCTAGAATATAAAATTGGAAATTCTGTAGGATTTTATAGTCATATTACTATTTGACTTAAAATTTAATAACATAACTAGCCGAATAAGTCACATTACAGTTTCCTTATTCATTTCTTCAATAGATTTATACATTCACACATACAGAGTTTTCATTTAACACGAAAACATATTTATTTCTGAGAAATTTGGTGAATTAACAATGTTTGCATGATGTATAGCAACAGATGATATTCTTAGGTAGTCAAAATCATAAATGATATTTAGAAAAATATTTCATTGCATGTACTAAAGATGATTGCTGATAGTCACAATAATAAAATTTTCAAGTCAAATACTGTCATGCTATTCATTTTTGGCGACAGTAATCGAAGTATTTTTATTTCTACCAATAGCTAAATGGTATTTTAAGATTTACCAATTCGATCATTTTTATAAGAATAATTTCACTGATTGAGAT